TGGGTGTGTTTGTGTTGTTTAGCTTACTACCCGGCACGGAAACCATGACCCGTAAACCTTGATAAATATACGTAAACCTTCCACGTAAATCATTCTAGACATTGGTCGCAATCAATACAGTGCAGTAGTTTTGAGTTTATGAATAGATACGGATAGACGTAGCAGAGGATTTGTGTTTATATAATGACTGATCCGGCAAACGTTGTTTTGCCAGGTATATTAGGTATTTCTAGGATTTTTTTTTTAGATTAATAAGAATAGATATCTACTAGAATAAAAAATCGTACGGGTTCATCATAGAGGGGTAAAAATTAGGGGTTGTTTGTATTTTTTATGTTGTATCATAAAAAAATAAAAACAAAAAAATTGTCTAAAAAATAAAATATATATATTTTGGGTTGTATAGGAAAGTGCGTTGCCGGTCTTTTAGGGACCCCCCCCCCCCCCTTTTAGTTGGATTTTTATTAGATGTTGGTAGATAGTAAAATTATTTATTGTACGACATGATGGCGACGGTAGTACCAATTTCAGCCGCCAAGAAAATTATGTGGCACTGAAATAGGGTGATTCACACCACGAAGCAATCATACAATGTTGCTAATAGTGTAATAAACATTTTACTTGTTAAAACTAGGCTACTAAGTGAATAAATTCCTGATCAGTTTTATAGTATAGCGAACAATTAGACTTGGAGGACAAAAAGTTAGACATGTCGCTCACTTTTTAGGCGTTATCAAGATATATAAACTGAATCATATATCATCGTTAGAAGCCTTTCGTCTGACCGTTTGACTACAAATACCGACTACCTCGAATGAGTATTTTAATTACTTGCATTGCACAAATAACGTGTATTTATAATGGTAACGAATTTTAAAAGCATTTCAGTAGATCCAGTGATATAACCTCTCACACTTTACCTCTTTGTAATATTAGGCAAAGTTTTACGCTTAATTACGTAAGCACTATAGGGGCGAAGAGGGGTTCTTTGATTTTCTTATTTCGTGATTACGTCAACAGTAATTATTTACTTTTTGACACATATTTTCCACACATTGTCTATGATTGAAAACGAAAGGCATTTACTTGAACGGCCACACACATCTATGCAATCCTAGTACCTGTTTGAACTTAGCGTTAACTGTTCGTCATATATCAATACTACGATCAGTTACGCGTTTTATCAATAAAACAATTACCCCCTAAAACCTCAAGAACTCTTTATAACCCTTTACCTATTAAGACCTTCAAGAAAAGAGCGTATTAATTCTTAAAAGGCCGGCAGCGCGCTTGCAAGCCTTCTGGCAGTGAGTGTCCATGGGCGGCGGTATCACTTAACATCAGGTGAGCCTCCTGCCCGTTTGCCTCCTGTAACGTAACAAACGAAAAACCACTCTGGGCTCGGCATTGCTGGATAGCCAGGGATCCAGTACTTACAGAGTTCCTTGGTGTTCACATTTCCTTTTAAGTATAATATAATTGTGTCCGCCATCTTTATTATATTTTTCAACTTATTATTGAATTAAAAGATTTTTAATAAAATAATGTGGAACTAACTGAAAATGGAATTAAATTGGAATGCGAAGGCGAGTAATGAAACTTCATCGATTCATTTGCCTAGTTGTTTGATCAAGTGGTTGAATCATTCAGGCCGCTAGTTAAACGGCGCTGTTTAGTAAAGAGGCTAGGCAGTTGATTGAACGGCTAATTAAGCTGGCTGCGACATATACATCGCTATAACATATAGATGTTTAAAATATTCAAGAGTAAGTTTTTTATAAAAATCTCCTAGATATTTACTAAAATATATTTTGTCCTCTAGTATTCAACAACCAAGACTGCTTGGCATATTCATCGGTTACTTCAGTCGGGAGAATGAAATGTTTATGCACAAGCGACTTTTGGAACTGCGTAGTCAAGTTATGAGAGCGAGAGAAACTCCCGCTAATATTACGTAAATATTTCTTTCCTAATGTTCTGAATAGATAGTAGAGTTTCTAGCAAATTATTTGTGGAATGAGTAGTTTATTTTGATTTTAGAACGTAGAGTTCGAATGAACACTTTGTATTTTTGAAGTAAGTTGTTGCGTTCTTTTTTCAAATTTCGCGTAGATTTTTTTAAAACGTTCCTTTTTCAAATTGTAGATTTTTGTTTGGTAATTTAGGTTTGTTAGTAAGGAAAAGTATTCTTATTGTATCAAATACGATTATTCTAGATACAATTTTCAAAATTGTATTTTGAGTATGAAGTAGGTAATTTTCTTTATTATTAACGCTTATTGTAGTTTTTAATGTTATAGCTAACCTAACAGGTTTTATTAAATATATGATTTGTTCCATTTTCAAATTCATTGTAGATTTCGTCATTCGAAACTTTTATATTTCAGTAGGTAGATTTTTTCTTTAGTTAGTCTTTTTAATAAAAGTACGTTTGTAAATAAAAAATATTGGTTATTATTTTAAACTCACACTAATGCAATTTCACTTACAGTATGTTTAAAAATATAACTTTTTTGCCAAGCTATATATTTTAGTCTAATCTGGTTTTAGTAAGGTTGGGTGGGTTGTAAAATAAATAAAAATGTGTCAAATACATATAAATATTATGTGCCAGCTTTAAATAACAGACCAATACTGCTCTTAGAAACCCCAGTCGCATCTGATGTCAAATGAAATATAACATTTTTTCATTAAACTGTTTTTATTAAGATGCTTAAAATAATTAAAAACATTGTGCACCATTTCACGAGATTGCCCTGGTAATGTTTGAAAAAAGATCAACATGTACAGTAAAGATCAACATAAACAGTTGCAAAAGCAAAACAATAACTGTCTCTTTTATACTCATAAGCTTGAGCGAGCGCGAGAGAGACGGACAGTCTTTTCATGATGTATTTGTGATTGTATTTCAGTTTGACATCACGCCTCGCGCTTATTCACAGACACTACACAAGCACAAAGTGTAAATGTGTTGAAGTCGCCAGCTTTAAATAACATACCAATAGATTTGTTGATGAATATTATTATGTATTTTTAAATCTATTTAGAATGCATTTGAAATAAGAATAGTTTTAAACACAGATTCACTGTGCATGTACTTAAGTTCATTTTAATTACGATAACATTAAATTATGAATTATAAATTCTAAAATTTCCGTTTAACATTCAACTGCTAGACTTTTTTTTGAACCAATAGTTTTCGAGTTTATACATACACATATTTCTTTATAAAATTTAATGCACGATCGTTTATATAGAATGCATGGCATAGATAATTATTATCTATAAAATGTTTATACAAGTGTCGCTAATTGAATTCATCGATTTTTGTTATCTGGTTTCTTCTATAGCCGAATATTAACTAATATATTATATATGCAAAGTAATATGTACGTTGTCATGGTAATAAAGCCATAACTAGTTGAATGCTAAGTGTAATAACAGAGTATGTCATTTTATTTATAATATACTAGCAGACCGGCCAAGTGTTGCTGTGGCTAAGGTTGTAGTTATATTACATAGTAGTAACCTATTCAAGGCAAACGGTAGGAGAACACCAGTCATGGGGACCACCATGCTTTTTGGTGGTTATGCCATTAAATTGTAGCTTATGTGAAATGTTGGTAAGTACTTTTAACACAGCGCCATCTGTTAGAATTGTGACTATCAAATATTTTGCAAAAAAATAATATTGCGGATATAAATTGAGATGTAAGCTCAAACCAAGATGTAGATCAAACCGCACACGGTGTGCAAATTTGATTGAAATCGGTTCAGTAGTTTAGGAGTCCATAGCGGACAAGCAAGGTGACACGTAATTTATGTATATTAAGATTAGAGGTGGTGTAACCTCACACAGGTTGTTTCGAATGAGATTTATTATGTTATGAACAACGAACAATATAGTTTAGAAAGTTAAAGTTTCAAATGAGTCAATTTTGTCCCTTTTTCGGTGGAGAACATTTTAAGTAGCAACACTTATGAATGTCAGAATTCTACGGAATAAAAAATTAGAGTATAGATGTATATTCAGGTTATATGTTTATGGTTTATTAAACTAAATGAGGGTAGAATCTAAATATGTAATAAGGATGTAGTAAATACTACGGTCTAACCAATTGCAACAACTGTGTTCAACTGTCGTGAACTTCGACACATGTTTTTAAGTCTTGCGGATGAGACACTAGGATACGAGATATGAATTTAGTGTCGTTATAATCTATGTAATTATTTACGGAACATTTACAACCCCACTTCGGGTTTCATTTTGAGATTCGGTGGTTCGAGCCAGTGGCGTAACTGTATCATCTGGGGCCCGTGGCATATTCTTTTGGTGGTACCCTATCAGTAAAAAGCGTCACGTTGTACTGAGTTTAATTTTAATAAACTCCGAGATATTCAGCGTACTCAATTACACGTTGTATATGTCCCACTAATGGCCACGGGCCTCCTCTCTTAGGCGAGAAGGAATGGTCTGTAGTCCCCACGCTAGCTCAATGCGTATTGGAGACTTCACATTCATCCATAGAACATCCATAGATAGAATATCTCTTGGGCAGGGGTCCTCTTGGGTCGGAGGCCCGTGGCATTTTGCCAGCCCTGCCACCCTATTGTTACGCCACTGGTTCGAGCTATCGTACGTTCATAGTAACCATGGCAACAAATACGGTATTCCATATAAGGTCGCGGAAGCTAACGACTACTAGACCTAGATTTAACTTCCTGTATCGTTTCCGTACTTCCGCTATGGGATATTTCTTGGATTTTTAGGCCTAATTGGCTTATGGCGACCCTCATCCCTGAGGTCGTTGAATCTAAAGGCAAACATCGTGATCATGACTTTGACATGTGTCTGACAAGGTGTAACCTCTGTAGCTGTGCTGGTGATAATCTGACATAAAGTTACTCATAAGTAGGTTGACTGGAAGAAGAGTATTAAGTGTACCTCTGGATGGAGATCAATGGAATTTTTTCCTACGATTCATTGCTTGTTTATAAGAATGATTGAAGAAACTGGAAGGTTGTAGCGCCACTGGTTCGTTCTAATGAGCGTGTCAAAAGCCAGCCTAAGTTTATAAATTTTATAGCTGACTCGGCAAACGTTGTTTTGCCATGTATATTATTTCTAGGAAACATTTTTTTAGTTCATATAAAATAACTATCTACTATATTAAAAAATAGATGTTGATCGTAGAGGTAAAAATTTAAAACATTTTTTAAAATCTAAATGTGGATATTATATCCTATCATTTAGGGGATCAAAAGATAGATAGTAGCCGATTAGAAGACTATACTAAATATGCATAAAAAATTTCATAAGAGTCGGTCTAGCCGTTTCGGAGGAGTATGGGAACGAACATGGTGACACGAGAATTTTATATATATAGAGATATATTATATTTAATATTTTTTGTTTTTGATTTGTATTGGTTTAGTATTGTAAGGAGTGTATGTATGTTTGTGAATAAATTAATTAAAAAGGTCCATTGTCACGGCCGGAGTTTGAACCGGGGTTGAAGGTCGCTGAAGCAACTAGGCCAACACAAATTGAGCAGCGAATTAATTAAACGAGTTATCTAAATGATGAATTTTGTTACAGTATAGCACAGCCCGTTTTCCTTGGGAAATTGGTGGAGTACTACAGTCCAGATCAGAAGACCATGAAGCCGAAAGAGGCGTATTTGTACGCTGGTGGTGTGGTGATCTGCTCCGCATTGAATGTGTTCGTGGTACATCCATATATGATGGCCATTCTTCATATGGGAATGAAGTTTAGGGTGGCCTGCTGTTCCCTTATATATAGAAAGGTAATGATAACAAAAGAGCGTACTAATTATTAAAAGGCCGGCAACGCACTCGCGAGTCCTTTGGCATTGAAAGTGTCCTTTGGCGGCGGTATCGCTTAACATCAGATGAGTCACCTGTAACATTAAAAAAGCCTGTGGCACAACTGGGCTTCAGGTTTCTGCATTCTTACGAGCGAGTGTTGCGCACAAAAAAAACCCTACTCATCAATATATTATGCAAAGTTTACATACATCATAACAAAAACGTTTTTATGAAAGATGACCTATGGTTTAATATGATGATAACCATCTCCTGATGAACAGGACAAAATATTTTAAAATTGTTCAACAGAGAGAAATAGAGATTTATTTTTATATACCACCTTTTTAGGTCTGCGCCTGAAATTTTTGTATGTTTCATGATCATTTGTCAATATAATAGGCAAGTAGGTGATCAGCCTCCTGTGCTCGAAACACGCAGTTGACTTTTTGGGTCTAAAGCAAGCCGGTTTCCACATGATGCTTTTATACGTATGAGCGAATGTTAAATACGCACATAGAAAGTCCATTGCACAGCCGGGGATCGAACCTACGACCTCAGGGATGAGAGTCACACGCTGAAGCCACTAGGCAACACTGCTGTGCTGCTATATATGTAGTATTACAAAAAAACTACTTTTTTGAAGTGAAACTTCTTTAGGCGCTGGGAAATGAGGGTAATTTTTTATGGAAACGTCACGAAGATGTGCAGCGTTTTGGTCGAAGAAAGGGAGAGAGCGATTAAGACCGATTGAGAGAGAGTGAGAAGGGTGAATTACCTTATAGAAATTCTATTTTTAAAATTAAAATTTCGTAAAGAGAATTTATGAAATATTAAATTGTAAGTGTATTTAATATTTTATGCAAAATAATTTATTGAAATCTCAAATGACGAATTGTTAATTTAAATGCCACGTGTATTTATTATCAAAGAAATAAATTTGAAAAATTAAATTTATAATTTGTGTGAATTTTCGACACTTTTAATATTTTAATGACAATTAAATTAATTAAATTCCTAACATACCTTGCTTTTTCCCTCCCTCTAAGTTTCGGAAATCTAAAGTTTTAGATTTGTATAAATATGAACAAGACTTAAAAATTATTTTGCCAAAGAAGTTTCAATTCTGACATGTGTGCTTTTTACGCACGCACTTTTTTTTGTAAATATTTCTTGATGATCTGTGATCCAAATATATAACGAATTCTATTGTATTACTACGACTTGCAAGTCACAATGAAGGAATGTTTCAGAAGTCATTGTTTTCGAATGATTCATGAGGAAAAACGTGTTTTGTTATTTAAAATGTCTAGAAGATGGTCACGCAACTGTCGTCTTGTTTATGCAAGAATGCTTACGACGAAATTCTTTACGCGATTCGAGTGATTTTACTCATTGGACTTGTTTATTTAAGTACTTAATGACAATACTGTATTTCCGTAAGGTCACTTCCTATTTATTTATTTGTAAAAATTCGGCACACTTATACATTGGTACAAGAAGAATTAAACAAAATATTTAATGAGAGAGTTGGCCTAGTGGCTTCAGCGTGCGACTCTCAAATCTGAGGTCGTAGGTTCGATCCCCGGCTGTGCACCAATGGACTTTCTTTCTATGTGCGCATTTAACATTTGCAACGGTGAAGGAAAACATCGTGAGGAAACTGACATGTCCACAAAGACAGACCCAAAAAGTCGACGACGTGTGTCACTGGAGGCTGATCACCTACTTGCCTTTTAGATTTAAAAATGATCATGAAACAGATTCAGGAATCTGAGGCCAAGACCTAAAGAGGTTGTAGCGCCACTGATTTTTTAATTGATAACGTACTATCCACGGTTAATTCTCTCTTTTAAATCCTTGCCCTAATTCCACATTATCAGAAATCGTGATTCATGTGGTTTTCAATTCACAAATATACATATTCTGAACCTACATAATAATGATAATAAATAAGAAATTTTAAACAAATTTTAAAAGTTGGTACGTGTGGCAGTGTACCTTTAATGCTGGCATCTCGGTGTATTGCGATACTTATTCGTTGAGGAAAGCACCAGCTCTGGGGTCACCAGTACTATCTACCAAACGCCAACTTAAATCATTAATTAGCGCCTGTCCACTTGAACCCCACGGCCCAAGGGTCTCTACTCCAAAGGGAACAGAATCGAAGTAGGGATAATACTCTTATATTTGAGCCGTTTATTATTTTCCGCCTGCTGCGGCCGATGGAGGTGAGTCGGGGCTATCGTGTCCACACCAGTAGCATCCCATACCAAAGCCCGTCCCATCCCCCATTACTGTATATTTATGTGGGTTTTATTGACATCTTCTTATAAGCGATAAGGCCGTTGCCCTCCACATTGCATGGTTATTATATTTGCTGTGATTTTTGAGAAAGAAATATCTAGACGTTTTAGCCTCGACTAGAATTGCCTCTTGAATAATCTAAAGTTGCTTTAGAAGTCCCGAACGTTTGGCAAACATGACCTGAACATGTGTTAGGAGTTTGTATTCATCTTTGTTTGTTTTATATTTGTAATTTTTAAGTCTGTAATCACACAAATTGTATTGATGTAATGTATGATTTATTACTTTTACTAAAATTGTAAACTTCTATATAAGAAGACTGCTATGGTTGCATTTATACAAACCACAGAGGTTTGTCTAACGTAACATATCATGATTTTATTATTATATTCTGTAAAATAAATAAATTAAAAACAAAATAAAAACTTTTAAAAAAACATGCGTGTACTTATGTACACGCGTTAGAAGTTATACTTCTTTAGCGTAACAAGATAAAAATCTTTTTTAATACAGTTGCTCAAAAAGTGGCGTATTGCAGGGACGTATAGCGTTCGGGATGTGGGCTATTACACACTCGTGCTTTTTTTTACCTTTTCCGAACTAGTGCGTTTTCTTTCCCAACTGTCAAAATAATGTCTATTAAAAAGAAAAAACCAACCACGAAGTTTTTACTAAAAAAAATTCATAGAAATTTTTATGATTCATGCAAATATTTCTAAAAAGAAGCTACTGCTTTGTTTCAATATCAGATTTAATGATTTGATTCAATGAGTTAGGTTAGATTTCATTTCATCTCATTAAATTTCATTTCATATCAAAAAATAATTGTACTGAAGACTTGGCTGTATGGGCATAGTTTTGCCTACCCAGAATGGGTGAAGAAAAAAAAATATCTGCTTATATTCTTTTACGGTTGGCGTCATTTTCCATAAATGTTCTTTGCGCGTTTAGTTGTTTGTTATATTAAATATACATGAACAATCATACGAAATTAATAATAGTTTGTCTCAAACAGTAAATAAATATGCAACCTAAAACTTCTCCAGTTAGTATAAAAAACTGTACCAATGTATATGTGAACAATAATTTGTATAAGAAATAAATGATTAGTTAGTTGAGTTTATTGTGTTTTTATTATTTTATTAAATTGCATAATTTTTTCGCAACTGTATTAAAAATAGTTGTTCAGTACACGTGCGGAACCGTCATTGCAACTTGTTCCGACTGTCAACCCTCACCTTCGGCTGCGCCTCGGCTCGGGTAGACATTAATTGTCGAAACTCTTTGCAATGACAGGCTTTCCGCACTTGTAATGAAATATACTATTTTTCAGAAAAAACGACACTAACAATAGAAAAAACGAATTTTAATACATTGAAAGTTTTATTATAACGCATTATCTAGTTAAATAAAGTTTATTTAAATACCACAAAAAAAAAGCTAAAATGTTGTCTATAGCTAACTTCAGGGTGTCGGTTTTTTGTGACGGTGTGCGCACGCATCTTAAAAATTTACTCTCATCATTTTTTCCCTAACGCGCCGAAAGAAGTATAACTTCAATAATTGATTTTGTACTGTGCAACAAAACATGATTCAGCAAAAAATATTCTTTGATTCTAGTCTCTCCGTCTTTCGAAGACTGCTCTCGGGGAGACCACTGTGGGTCAGGTTGTGAATCTCCTCTCGAACGACGTGAACAGATTCGATGTAGCCATCATCTTCCTGCATTATCTATGGATTGGACCTTTGGCTACTGTCATTGTCACCTACTTCATGTGGCTGGAGATCAACTGGGCTGCTATTGTTGGAGTTGGGTTTATGCTGGCGTTTATACCACTTCAAGGTGAGTGAATTTAGTTTTTCTAACGTAACGAGTAAACTGATTGGGAGCGATTTTAATAGGTTTGTCAAACGGGGGGTCGCGACCCTGGGGGAGGGTGAGATAAACATAAATTAATCAATAAAGCTTTTTATAAATTTGACGAATATTTAAATGATTCCTTATCCTTGGGATTGATTTGCTCCAGTTCAAGCAGTTCAGTAGCGATGAACAAGAGTAGCGGAGAGTTTCTTGCCAGTTCTTCGCTCTACGCACTTGACTTGCGAAGTGGTAGTAAATGTAAATTTAGAATCAATTTATAATCTTTTCTGTTGACGTTCGTAAGTGTTTGTTTAACTATATGAATAAAGTTATTTTGAGTTGAGTTTGTTTTAAAAGGGGTCGTGTTTTACTTAACTTTTTAGCTTCTACTGTTAGCAGTTTAAGAGGAGTTCAGTGACATACACACGTACAGTAGAATTGTATATCCAAATTCTTTCATTCGTCTCTCATCTTGGCTACTTTCAATCTTTCTCGGCTATCTCCTTTATTTCATATTTCCAGATTTCAGTTGTCCTATCTTTTTTCTTTCCTGGGCCAAAAGCGCTCAATCAATTACACTAAGAGTAAAATTAATAAGTGCGCTGAGAAGCAGTGTTGCCAGATGTTCTTAGCGACGTACCCCTAGACTAATTTGAATTCCCCCAGAAATCCCTTACGAGGCCTTCAAATACAAAAAATTATAATTCTTGTGTTGAGTTATTATGAATTTTCATGTAATTTTAGAATTTTTATTTAATTTAAATCACATCGTTCTTTGACACCTCAAACGAATATACAATTAGTAAGATTTACCTCACGGATCCTATTCTTACGGTGTGTTCGTACTTCAATTTAGTTTCAAAATCACGAACGTGATATACAATAGCAAAAAACTGTATTTGGCGTGTTTTTGAAATTTCCCCCAAATATTTTTTCACCCTATTCTGCCCCTAAATCGGTTGAGAAACCCCTAAATCTAGGGGGCATCGAAAATCCCGCTATATGTAACTGGAAAAGCGCTAGGCGTCAACATTCAGCGGCTCCACCGTTCGTATTGTCTTTCTTGTGGTATTTTTTAATACCAGCTTAAATATCAAGGATTTGTGGTTGAAATCGATTCTTCGCGCGGTCGTTGAACTTACATAATGTCCCCCTCAGGCAGGGGTAGTAGTAGTAGTAGTAATAGTATCGGAATATTGTAACATCCCAGAAAATTTTTACTTATTGACGTAATCGAAGTCATAAGAATCACGGCGTTGAACCTTTTCGCTGCTATAACATGATTCCTAGTAAAATATTAGAACTGCCTTTAAACAGATTCAAAACACATATTAAAAAAAAATGTGTAAAGGTTACTACACAGTTAATGACTACCTAGAAGACAAAAACGCGTGGAAATAGTTCTAATTATATTGTTACAATTTGTTTTGTTATCTTTGAAGTGTTGTGAATATGTGTGTAATGGTGAATGTGGTAAATCACAAAACTGATTTTTATTTTATTTTTTACTTATGTAACTTTAATGAAGTTGTGGTTTATGACATTTTCCTTTGAATAATTGTAATGTAGAGAGAGGGTAAAACTTGCTGAGTTTCTTGCCCGTTCTTCTCAGAACAAGGCCTCCTGGTAGTTTTGCGAACGCATGGCGTAGTCTTGCTCTTTCGCGAATTTTGTAAACGTTTTTGACATTCATAAGCATGCCCTTAAGCTTAGGTTTCCTAGAAAAGCGGTGCCGTTAACTAACGGCCGTCATTACTATTTAACATAATGCAAAAAATAATCATTTTCGCTCGTCCAAGTCACGTTTCCACTCATGGTATTAATTAAATATGGGCACCGCTACACGCGAAAAACGTTGAACTACTGTTTATCACCGCTATGACGGCCGTCATGCAAATGACAGCACCGCTATTTGACGTTACGGTGACACTCAACGTTCTCTAGAAAACCTACTCCGATGTTATTTATAGACAACGTATGGGTGACGTCACCCAACGTTACATTACGGCCGTTGGATAACGGCACCGCTTTTCTAGGAAACCTAAGCTTTAGACGCATCTAAAGTGAACAAACATATCTATTTTAATTGATTGATATGGACTTTTCTGTGCGCTTTTAACATTCGGTGAAGGAAAACATCGTGAGGAAACCGGCATGCTATAGAGACGGCGTGACATGCACAAAAGCCTACTTCTTGCACACATTACACACTCAAAATGCAAACACTTATCACTTAGGGGTTTGAGAGATAGATAGTAGCCGATTCTCAGACTTACTGAATATGAATATAAAATTTTATAAAATCGGTCGAGCCGTTTCGGAGGAGTATGGGAACGAACATTGTGACACGCTAATTTTATAGATATAATAACATAGAATATATTTGTTTTGTATATTTAAAATCAGACGTACCTGGGGTCATTAACCTTTAAAAGATTTATGATTTATTCCAAACACGTTTCTATACTGTATGATAATATCTAGTAGTAATGTATTTTTAAATAATAATCCAGTGGCGCTAAAACGTTTTCTTTGCCTTATCATCGGTTTCGTTCATAATTTTTATTTAGACAAGATCAGTTTTTGATGTCTGGTATATACCACATATATCAATGATTTTTCACCGTAGAAGCAAGTGCTAATAGAAAATTTCATTGGAACAGAGATGAGGATCTTACGCTTACACTACCCACGCTGAATTTCATCATCAGACATCGAGACCGAATACGAAATTCTACCCGTACACCTCGTAGTCCGTCGTTCCATATCTGAGCGTTTTTTAAGGCAGTTTCTGCCGCGCACCACCACTATGTCGAACCAGCTGCTCACCGATGTATTACCGAACCAATTCCACTAAGGGTTCTACAAGAATAGAGCGTACCAATTGTTCAAAGGCCGGCAACGGACTCACGAACCCTCTGGCAATGTGAGTGTCCATAGCCGGTATAACTTAACATCAGATGAGACTCCTGCCCCCTGTGACATTTAAAAAAAACTAGACCAACACTGTTCTACAGTTAATTTTTATTGACATAACATTCAATATAGTTTTGACATTATTCTCCCTCTCTTGCTCACTGCTGAGCGTCGTGATGCTCCCGAACCCGCTGTGCCAGAATACTGGTTCAATCTCTGACAATCTAGGTGATTGGGACTTTAGTACCTAGGTTTGGTGATACCTGGTCAGTCCGTTTTGGCATCCGTCTCCTTGGTCTCTTCCCTCCATTTTCCTGGTTAAAGTCAAGGTCGGCATGAGGTTTTTGGGCATTGTGGCTGAAATTTTACAAGATTTAGTGACATGCGGTTCTTTTGGAATTGAAACCTATCTGTTGCGCGTTGTTCCCACGAGAATGTAAGTGCGTGCTCCTATTTCACCATGCCTCCTGCTGATAGAGGACAAATCTTCGTTTTTTTTTTTTTTTGTTAATATATTTTTATTAGTATACTTAAATTACTTAGAGATGTCATCTAGAACATGGTGTAATGGTTGCAGCTCCTTACAAACATTGTGTAAAACAAAAAATTTGGCGATTAAAAAGAGTGGCGGAGAGTTTTTTGCCAGTTCCTCTCGTCCGTTCTTCGCCCTTGATTTGAGAATTGGCAGTAAATGTAAAATTAGAAGCGTTTATTATGTATTTCTTTATTGACGTTCATAAGTGTACATTGTGTGACTAAAAGGAATATGAATTCGAATTCGTCAAGTGAATACACAGCATACGTCGCCGGGGTATATGTAGATCTAGAAGAACAAAGAAACCTCGGCTTTGAAATGTACCCGATACAGAATCTTATAAAGTAACGACCATATTTGCTTAGGAAAAATACCGTTACCATAGCAACCAAGGCTGACTTTAAGGTGGGAACTGACCAACGTTACGAGGTGTAATGTAACATGTAATGTAATGTTACACAGCGAGCATTCGTGCAGTCAGTACGTCGTGTTACGGGGAAACCAGCGAGCAACGAGCCGCTCGTTGCTCGCTTCGAGTGCTCCACCCGGCTGTCGGTTTTTTGGCGAATCCTTTGACTGTTACGCGGTTCAGTAATTACGCGTCGCACGTCGCGAGTCATCATGATTATGATTTTCTATAAATTGTGTCTTTTTAAGTACTTTTGGTCCAATTAAATTCAACAGTTCTTCAAAATCGAGACCTGCGTACAAAGTTTTTATACTGTCCAGTAATCATTTGGTTTTTAATATTGCAATCAATAACAAACCACCTCATACGCCTGTGTTTTTAAATAAGTTTTATGTCCAGTAACATTTTTTCTTCTTCTTAATTTGGATGAAACAATAATTAAATAGAGTGAAAAATATCAACATTATCACTATCACATCTCGTGAACACTGGCGGCGAAAGTGGAGCACAGAGTTTTGACGAGCATATTACGCTGATTTTAGAACACAGCGTAACACGCTCGATGCGAATGCTACATTACACCTTGTAACTTTGGTCAATTCCCACCTTTATACAATTGTCACCATTACTGGTAGTATTATTATAAAATTGATTTTATTTGTAGAGTGGATATTTTAAAATACCTGCATTATGCACGAATGATTTGATTTGAATCTCAGGTCAAAGACCGGTTTAGTGACCTAATGTCCTTTGAATGTTTTTATCGTGCCTTTGCGGCTTCGGTATTCCAGATACTGACCTGAGATTTATGTCGTAATCAATAGAGGCAGATCAAAAGCAATTGCCAATGCAAAATACTCGCCTAAAATGTTTTCACCGAATTAAATCACTCGTAAGAGCGGTGATGGACTAGTGGCTTCAGCGTGCGAGTCATCCATGAGGTCGTAGGTTCGATCCCCGGCTCTGCACCAATAGACCTTACAATGTGCTCATTTAACAATCGCTCGAACAGTTAACGGTTAGAAACGGGCTTGATTAGACCCAAAAAGTCGACGGCGTGTATCAGGCATAGGAGGCTAATACTTGCCTTTTAGATTGACAAATGATAATGAAACAGATACA